CATTCAATAATAAACACCCTGAATGCTGCGCACTATTCAATCTATATGGAAGTAGTTTGGTAGGTTACATATCTATAGCTATAATGGCTTCCTATATATTCGACACTATATTCTTTTGGTGGTACTTGTTATCCACTAAATATACATATTTACAAGAGTTATCTAAGAATGGAAATCTCGCCTCCGCCGTTTGGAGAAAGTTATGGGAAAAGGAACGCCTGCATTTTATGGACCAGTCAGAAAGAGCAAATCTCATCCTCGATTCCTCGCGGTCTTTCGATATAATAATAATTTGTCTTTATTTGTCCTCACAAAAAAAAACAATAATACCGAGGGCAAATGAGCGAAGTCTAGTCATGACCAGACGAATCCAGTCAATTCTTACTCATGACACGGTGAATTTCAATATCCCTGTCGAATACGGAAATTCGAACTCAAATTATATTGTCTCTCAAAATAGATTTGTCAGTACAAATTCAAATTATCTAAAATGATACACAATTTTTGTTGGATATTTGTTGAATCAAACTATTAGTATCAGTACTTAGATTAGATAGATAATTTATTGTAGGTATATGAAAAGAATAATAATTATTATTATTACAAGGATTGAGCTTAATCCTATTTGAGAGAGGTGGTGTGATATTATGACGCAACTAAATTGAAAGTGGTAATACATTCGAAGGTGGTAATACATTGAGAGTGGTGATACATTGCAAGTGGTAAACATTGAAAGTAGTAATATATTGAAAGTGATAATACATTGAATGCGAGAAAAAGAACGATGAAAATGAATATGACAGAATGTAAACAAACCTAATAAGCCCAGCATGACAAGTGTTGAGCAGTTATCACGGAGTCTCTCGCCCTCTATTCGTTGATTATGAATGATCTTAACCTATAAGTATGTTCATTATCACACAAACCAATTGCTTAAGAGATTATAGTATAAGTACTTATACATACAGGGTGACAATTTGAAAACGAGCAGCGCTCAATATTTCTTTACTGATGACACTATATAAATTTGACGAAACACGTCAGTCAACATATCAATGTGGACAACTTTTGGTGTATTTTTTGTTACATTACATTCAACCCCTTCACCGCCAGAGCAACTACCCCTGGAAATTAAAATGGCAACTCCCAACTATTTTGCTTTTTTTGAAATTCTCATGTGATTCCAGATAAGTCACACATATTTTCAATTTTTTGTCTTCAAAGTTGCAGTACCCGTATATTTTGACCCCTACCTACAGCTCAAACTATACGAAGTGAAAAAAACTTCAAATATGAAATTTGTAGGGTTTCATCTAATATCGTTTGGAACTCCTTATTGAATGATGCGAATCGCAAAATAGAAAAAAAAGAGTTCAAATCAGTTTTTATTTTAATGGAACGCCCTGTATATTTTATACTTTTCTGAATGATATATTTCTTCTGTTCATAAATATAAATAGTTTGTTTATGTTCCATTGAGCAGTTTTCGACTAAATTCTTGCTATACTACGGGAAATTTTTGCATTATTTTCATATAATATAATCTTATACTATCTTTTCTTACTATCTTTCCTGTGTGCAATAACCCATTTTTATTCAAAAACTGACAGAGATGATGTAGAAAAATGTCTGTTTTGTGTCCATGGCATTTATGTTGTGCCCATAGCTATCTCAATGTTATTGGCGCAACTTTGATTCAATGCTAAATAAGTTGAGAATAGCTTGAGGAAACACGAGAGAGGAAACATTAGCAAACTAAATACATGGTGACTCAAATTCGATGTGAATATTTCAAGGACGTATTGTTATAGGAACAAAATAAGACTTTCTCTTCACGTAAACATTTGTCCTAAAATTCACCCCCTCCGAGCTACAGTAACTGAAAGTTGGCTAAAAAAAAGATTATCTGAAATTGTGATCATAAATAGCCGACCAAATCGTCTGAAAATTGGCATGCCTCTGTTCTTTTGATACTCTTCTGTTGTTTTGCTTCAAAGATAACGTTGACAAGGTTTTGTGATAGTTGAAAGGGTACAGTAGCACGAAGAGGATGCATATATCTTCATCTCAAAAGTCTTATTTTCATCTTAACAATATGTCTTTGGGACATTTACATTGAATCACCCCCTGTATATTCGTGAACAGCTAAGAAAAATGTTTCACCAGAGTTGAAAAAAGAACTTATTTGAACTTTTGTTTCTATTTCGCGTTTACTTATTTAAGGAGTGCCAAACGATAGTAGGGGTCTAATTACTTGTCTCCAGAACTTTGTGAGCAAAAGTACAGCTGATATTCAAACTATTCGCAGAACTTCAGGGAGGTCTCTGTATGGAATATCGGCTGTAATAAACTGTGCTTACAAACAAATTCATAGAGTATTTAGTTAGGTCCGCGATTATAATATTTTCATCATCATAATGAAATTGGTGAGGTTGAGTACTACAATCTTGTAGATAAAAAAATGAAAATAGGTGTAACTTATCTGGATTCACATAAGGATTTCAAAAATAGCAAAATAATTGGGGGTTGCCATTTAAAAGTTTACGGGTATTTGCCCTGAAGGTGACAGAATTGAATATCATGTAACAACGAATACGTCAAAAGTTGTATATAAATTGACGTGTTTCGCCAAATTTTCATAATGTCATCAGTTGAAGAAATATTGAGTGCTGCTTGTTTTAAAATTGTCACCCTGTATAATAAGTAGACCTATTTATATAGTCTGCTCGTAATGTTTCAACTTATTAGTATTCGGATTCGTATACGCTTTCAAATGAAATGCATATGAATAGATACGTAATAAATGAATTTCATGCAATCCATCAATTCATCACAGTTATATCACTAATAACTGATTTTTAAAATAATCCTTTATGGATAGGCAAGAATTTATATCGAATACTAACTAAAAACTAGAATAACTGATAATATTGTTTCTTTTCATAATTCTGTAGCAGTTTTCTTTGATCGAATGATTTTGGTATTTGAAAATAGATGTTTTGATCCATTGTTGTTTGTTGAAAACAAAAGACGTGATTACCATTAAAAATTATTACGTCCATAGATAAGTGATCAGAATTGAAGTGATAGAAGTGATCGTAGCATATATTTGATGTACATTCTTCAAGACCTTTTTTTATTTCGAATAAAAGTATTACTCATGAGAGTTGAATAGGTCTAACTACATATTGAACTTTGATAATGCTTCAAATACAGGCCCATCTTGAGAGTTTCGGGACCCCAAGGCACGAGATTTGTTGATGCCTCATATATTTTTTTGTATGAGACTAAAATAGTCAAGTTGTATCAAATAGTAGTTTTTTTGAGTCACAAGACTACATTTACTTGTTGGGGTGTGTGTGTGGGTGTGTACCCAGACAGCACTGGATATTCTTAGAATATTCTCTAAATATGCTAAAAAGGAGGAGTATATTCCGAATATTCATCGATTATTCCAAAAATATATACATGCCTCTGGAACATCAAAAAGGAATATTCCAAAGTGAATAGTCGGATATGTTCAGGGAATATTCAGGTATGAATTTTCCAGGAATATTCCCAACTGAATGTTCTGTGGGGTATATTCATGAAATATTCTCAACTGAATATTCTGTGCGGTATATTCATGAAATATTCTCAACTGAATATTCTGTGGTGTATATTCATGGAATTTTCCCTGAATATTCCTATGTTTCTCAACACATAAATACCAATCATTATTTCAGAGATGTGAGTATCAAACATCAATTAGATGTAAGGGGATTTTGAAACAGAAAGTGTTTATGATCCGATTTCGAACAACGCTCTCGAAAGAAATTGACATGTACAACATTATTCAATTCGATTACTGGCCAAGGCGTTGCTCTTATAGTCATGAGGTCACGAGTTCGATCCCTACTTATGTCTCATTTTTTATTTCAGAATATGTTTATTGGAATATTCCAGGAACATTCAACATAGAATATTCTTTTGGATATATTCTATGAATATCTGAGGAATTCCCATTCGCATATTTAGAGAATATTCCACAGATATTCCGGAATATTCCAGATCATTCCTAGAATATTCCAATATTCCAAAAGGAATATGATGCGAGTTCTGTTAGCCTTCGTTACTTATACTCCATACGCCACCATAAGAGCAGCACTGTCAATTAGAACGCAACAATGAAATGCACGATATTATCTTCAGAAGAGGCTACGAAAATTATAATTTACAATTCGTTTCATGAAGAAATGTTATACACTGAGCTATCCCACCGAATCACAAATAAACAAATAATATAATAATATAAACGCTCTCGAAAGAAATTGACATGTATGTACAACATTATTCAATTCGATTACTGGCCAAGGCGTTGCTCTTATAGTCTTGAGGTCACGAGTTCGATCCCTACTTATGTCTCATTTTTTATTTCAGAATATGTTTATTGGAATATTCCAGGAACATTCAACATAGAATATTCTTTTGGATATATTCTATGAATATCTGAGGAATTCCCATTCGCATATTTAGAGAATATTCCACAGATATTCCGGAATATTCCAGATCATTCCTAGAATATTCCAATATTCCAAAAGGAATATGATGCGAGTTCTGTTAGCCTTCGTTACTTATACTCCATACGCCACCATAAGAGCAGCACTGTCAATTAGAACGCAACAATGAAATGCACGATATTATCTTCAGAAGAGGCTACGAAAATTATAATTTACAATTCGTTTCATAAAGAAATGTTATACACTGAGCTATCCCACCGAATCACAAATAAACAAATAATATGTTGTTGAATTTGTTGACATTATGAAATTTTCTTTATATTCAGTATAGTTGCCAATTTTATTGATTAGGTTTTTTTTCACTATCGACTGGACTATGACTATCACAATTTCTCCTCGATCGAATACTGGTAGAAAGGGGTGAAAGTAGCAAAGCGCATGCTTCGATCGGCTTACAACGAAATGTGTTTTACGAACCAACAATACCAAGCATTATCGCGAGTCTATTCATTTTCCTTAAACATTTTTTAAGCATACAGCATAGTGACTAGCCAGAAATTGGTTACTCAGAAAAAATGAAGGAAGGGAATATTTGCTTGGTAGATAAAATCGGGTTGATTTGTACGTTCATAGTGGGGTTTCAGCTGATAAGATTTGTGTTCAGGGTGATTTACAATAATTTCCTGGCTACCGCCCTCAGGATAAATGCTGTTAATTTACAAGAAACTGGAAAATGGGCAGGTCAGTAAATTTTCAAATTTACAGTCATGAAGTGAAAATTATTAAGCATCCGATTAAAAATCGATATTAAACTTGAGCAGGCTGATCCAGGAAAATTACACTCACCCACTGATAACATTCAGTTCGATATGATTCGATAAACTTTATCTCAAAATACTAATCAGTTAAAAACTGAGATCAACGACAAAATAAATACCTACTAGAGTTTCTCGTCCATTTATTCGATTTTAGAAATATTTTAGTGCTGTTTAATGGTTGTCATTTTTTTGTATAGGTACCTACCTTCCTATAAAATTATCTTCTTGCATGATTTCAAAAATTGGGTGGAAATTAGTTTGGCATAATTTTATTGAAGGGAATTTTTGCTTTTCGCAAAAATGATGCTCTAACACTCAAAATTTCGTGTTTCACTTTTCTTCAACCACATTTTTACGCAATATCATTTTTCACTTGTTTTGATCCGTCTTCGGAGCCTCGGTTGGGGATAGTCCTACACGATTCACTGTTGCGTTTCAATTCACAGTGCTGTTCCTAAGGTGGCGTATAGAGTAAGTAATAGAGCCTGCACAGAACACACCATTCAGAACACTTCGGGCTGAAGGACTTCGATCGAGGTCGATGACCAGATGGTTTGTGCATAACATACCAACAAAGTACATGTACCTTAATTTTTGAAGATGAAAAACTGAAACACATCTTCTAGTTTCCAGTTTTTCTATCTGTTAATGAGGTTCTACACACTATAGTCAAATTTGCGCCATATATCTGTTTTGTATTGACCGAACCATGTACTAGAAGTATCTGATTAGAGTCATTCATTTTTCAAAGTCAACACAAATAGGTACTTTATTCAATAGATTATATGAGTAATCACCTCTCAAAAATGCTATAACTATCGATAACGTGTGATATACCGATAAGCATCAATAGTGTCATATTTCTCAAAAACCAATAATATCATATCCACATTGCACAAAACAATAATAATTCATTATTCCAATTTTTTTGGGATTTTCTCTCCTCGCTTCTATAAAATAAAAATATTACTATAATTTCAATATACGTGTAGTAAGGACAAATCAGATGATCAGATCTACTGTCATGAAACGAAAAAATTATGTTAATTATAAATGTGATTTTGATGAATTCTGTATATCCAAATGTGCATGCCTTTGCATATTCAGAACTTCACCATTGGTGATATTGTTTACCATTTAAATGACTTTTCATTGAAATTCATATTCGTTCACCTATATTTCTGACTCGTCATCATACATATGAGATATGACAGAAACCATAGAGAAATATCAAGAAGGGCGCCATACCCATGAGCTTTCAAACTGTTCATACTTTCAAAGTCTCAATGTTTCACGTTTAAGAAACGGGAGTGTGAGTTTTACACTAGAAAAAATAAGTTGTTCAGCTATGACCTACTCATATTATTTTATGAATTTCTTATTGAACCATTGGAAACCATACAGCTATTTTCCCGATAATTCTAATTCACTATCACTCTCATTCATATTGATTCTTTTCGATGTTAAAAACACATCGAAGTATATTTCGATGATATTCAGGATAATCATATCGCAGTCAGAATCTAATTTCAAGAAATCTAAAAATTATATGTGCATGTGCTCTTTATCGTTTTCGATTCCATCAAATGTATTTATCTTATCTTATCTTTCTATCCCTAATAGCACACAACGTCCTAGGGACGTCCCTATTCGGTACAATTCAAGTCCGAATGTTCCGGACCAAAAATAAGTGTCCTTGGGACGTCCCATCCCGTATACATCTCATGCAATGTCCGACCAAGGACGTCCACGTAATGTCCCAGCTAGTACATCATTTCAAATGTCCTAGAAATAGCATCCCTTAGACGTCCCACGTGGTACATATTGTAGAATGTCCATGCAAGGACGTCCTTGGCATGTCCCTGATGGGATATGATTTTGAACGTTCCTTCAGGGACATCCATCGGATGTCCCGAGTGGTACATATTCTGGCATGATTTCAGATCTTATATAATGTCCCATCTAGACAATCATGAAATGTCCATGATGGTACATTCGTTCAAATATCCAGGATCGTATAACAATCGAAATGTCCCTCAGGGACATCCTTCGAATGTCCCTTAGGGATCCTAAGGATTTCCTCCGTAGTGCTTGATGGTCCCTAGTTGGTCCTCAAGTGGGACATTTGTGCGTCTCAGACGTCCAATGGACGTCCACGGTACCAAATTCGAACGTCCTATGGAAGTCCTGAATGTCCCGACAGTACGTCCTAAGATGTAAAGTATTTTCAGGAAGATACATTGCCCTCAAGAAAAGTTAACCGTCGATTTGTTGTTTCGTCTTCCACCAAGTGTTGGCTATATTTTGCACTTCTTTCACCTTACTGATGAGGGCCGAAAGCCCGAAACACGTGTCTGCGGTTAACTCTTCCTGAGGGCTATGCCCAATAATCATTTCCTAGTTTGCTCAAAACAGTTCCCTCAATATTCCTTCCATCTTATAGTATTTCCTGTATCTGTGACACCCATTGTTTAATTACCTTGATATTTCAATTGAATGGAAATGTTTTTGATCTCAATATATTGTTGGCACGTGAAAATCCTGAAGCGCATTTTTCATTCGTTTGTTGCTCACATGTGAACGTATTGAGAGAAAAAATAGAATAGGTAGTTGCCACAAATGTTCCAAAAATGTTCCAAAACGTTTTTTATTTTGACCCTTATATTCACAATTTTATTTTTATATATCTTTGTCTTCCCTGGAATTCTGAAATTCCTGCGCCTTTGGCAGAACCTATTTTATTATGGCAATCTGAAGTTTTGTGAGCAATAAAGCTGAACATCAGGATTGTTTGTCGTTCAAGCGTCAGGATTTAGGTTGCCACAACTATTCAGAAGCCTAGTTAGCAATGCTAATGAACTTTGAATAATAAAAAATCAGAATTACGAATTGTATCGTGCATACTAAGCGAAATAATAAACTAGTCAACACGTATAATAATAATCCAGTTAATGTGATTAGAATTTGTAACTTCAACATTTATAGCAGAACTCATCATTCTGGATGTCTTTTTACTGCTAGTGTGATTCCGAAATTGGGGCAATGAATAAAATGAGGAATTCTCTGAGACATAATAATACGATAAATCACAAGTAAAAATTGTTTTGAACATTTTTCAAGAAATGTGCGCTCCCACCATACTACATTTTTCAACATCTGATCAATGATTTCCAGAAGTTTCAGGCAAACTTTGGAGCTCAATATCTTCCAAAATAGTTGTTTTTCGTTTCGTTTTTTCGACTCCTATCATCCATTTCAGCTGGGTTTGCTCGGTGAATAAATATCGTAACCGTCATCAAAATACAAGGTGATGAAAAAAAGTTTTTTTTACACATTTTTACGATTACGTCGAAAATACTGGCAAAAGTTGCAATGAAATTTTGTATAGATGTTTGGAAGCTGGCACATCGCATGGGTTTCTTTTTAATTTCTTACTCTCATAGAGGGCGCTAAATACATGGTTCGATTACAAAGTACTTGGTCTTCAACAATGATTGAGTGTCAACGTGACCATTCTTGAAAAGATACGAATATATTCTTAGTTGCATATTAATCTGTCACGTGGTTGTCAATCATTATTGAAGACCCGTTGGTTTAAAACATAACAATTCTGCACCAAAAATGTTGGTCGAACTCGATACTATGTAGATATACCGTGTTCGTAGTATTTTGATTTGAAAATGATGAAGTGATAACTGTTGTTGGTGTATATAGGATGACCAGATTTCTAAAATGAAAAAAGAGTACATATTTCAATATTGGAATGAATGGAAGAGCGCCGCAAGAGATTTTTTTTTCGTTGTTCAAGATCAAAGGTCAAATGCTTTCAAATTGAAAAATAGATTTTCTCATACCATAGAAACAGCTGCCTAATATGTCGTGGTCTCAATCAACAATCAAAGTTGTCACAGAAATGGTACACCGATAAACATTAACATAACTCTGATATTTTGAAGTAGACTGAGATTCGAGCTCAAAACATGAATAAAAATCAGCTGAAAGTGACAATATAATGTCATACAGGGACCACAGGGTAAAAACTCAATTTGATAAAACCAGAGAAAATCGGATGACATCGGTTCGCGAGTGATGAATAATAGTTATTTATGTACCAAGGACGAAAAACTGTCTATTATAATCGAGTCCGAGGCCTTAGCCGAGGCTAGCAATCAGGCGAGACAATATACAGTTTTTCGTCGACCTCAAACACTTATATCCACATCCCGGTCCTGTCTCACCATTTTTTGAAACATAAAATCGACCAGCACACTATGTCAATGCCCCTCGAATAAATGGTGTATATTTTTCTAATTTCCACATGAGCTTGAAAATCCTTACACTCTGTAAAATGGCCCATATAATCTCAACATTGAACATTACCCAGTAGATTCATTATCATGAATTATCGAAAATATATAAGCACAACGAACACAACTTATAAGGTGTACTTTCATGTTAATTTTCCCTCAATATCTCCAGTTTGACTGATAAGCACGAAATTATCTTGCAATGAATTCTGTAAAACAAGTTGATTGGTATGAAATCGGTAAAGGTACTATAAACATGAGTAAATTCTAGTATAACTTCGAGGTCGATTTTCAACAATGGCTGATTAATAATAAACTATTGGCCTTCAAAAATATGTACAGTGTGTCCCAGCTAAAACTCCTCGATCCCTTATCTCCGAAACCAATAGGAAAATTGAAAATAGCTCATAGACCCATCGTATTTTTCTGAGGAGACTATTCCAGCAGATGCATCAGATTCCAGAAACTTCAATGATTTTCATCATTTTTATTACCACAAATGATACTATTTTGTCTGAAATATGCGACAATTGTTACGACAGCTTGTCGCCTAGTTTTTTACGAGCATCATAGGAATTTCATTTCGTGCGGTCCAAGAGATGAAAAAAAAAATATTTATCGAGCCGTCGGCGGAAAGTTTTGTTATGAAATAAATTAAAACAGCAAGCGAAATTGGTTGATTTTGATTCGTTCCCGAAAATAACAGTTAAACATCTTCACGAGCATATTCTAACTCTGTATAGTGGTAGTAGAAGCTCTGACATTCAACAAAAAAACTCGAATGATTTGCTATAGGTACTACCTATAATGATCCTGAAAATTTCACACCAAACATTTTGGATCAATTTAAAGCCTTTATTTCGTATCGTTACTAACAACTAAACAAATTTCTTGGAAATTTTTTCCTCCTCCTTATTGGGGGACGCAGCATGAAATTACACTGGACATTTTTTGACGTTTATAGGTTAAATGACGTTTACTTTCAACTTCAGATTTTTTCGAGTTCATTCTATAAGTCAATAAATAAAAATCATTTATCAACAGTTTACCATATAATATTATGTAGGTATACTTGCAAATTCGAGATTTACAAAAACACATGTTGTTACTATACGTTAGTTCTTACATTTCATCACAAACAACCATCAACATGTAAATTTTTTTACCGAGTACCACTTTAGCTTCAATTAATATCCGGGAATTTTATCTCGAACACGAATTTGCAAAATATTCGTGTTCTCGAAAAAATTTCCGGAAATAATTGGAGCTCTCGTGATATAATAAGTGACAATAATTAAAACTCGAGAACTTTTTCATTTCTAGTTGTCACAGGAGCCACAGACGGAATAGGAAAAGCTTACGCCGAGCTCCTTGCTAAGAGCGGGCTGAGTGTTGTCCTTATTAGCAGGACCCAGTCTAAACTACTAGATGTAGCCAAAGAATTAGGTGAGATTTTCGTCCAACTCACCATTTTTATACTGATCTTAAAAATCCAGATGTAAATTGTACATATCTGCATTTTTTCGTTTTGTGATTTGACTCAAAATCACGCTTTTGATGAAGACATAAAAGCATACCATATGAAACAAATGACAGTACAACTTCTGCATGCCAGGTGTCCCAGAGCTTTTAGACTAGCAGATATCTGGGATAAGTAACTACAAGAAATAAAAAAAAGGAATTTATCGGAACGGAAGTTCTTCAAAATGGTGGGATCAAATCACCTTTGTGTCAAACAATCTCCTAGAAACAATCCCTCATTTTGATTTTTTAAATTGCACACCAATATTTTTGTCGGTTCATCTAAGAGAACTTCTCATTCTCAATTCGAGTATATATCACGATCTATATACGTACTATAGTCAAAAATGTAAAGTACTAAATGATTTTGCATGCTTCTCATATTGTTACACCCATTTATTCCCTGGAAAATCAGAGCTTCACACGAATTCTGAAGGCGATATGAAATGTGAGTGTAGCAAGTGATAACAGTCATTTCAAACTACAATTCAAGAAAAATCATTTCTGTTTTCATAAACTTTATTGAAATTATTCGAATTTTCCGAGGGTGAATTTCTTGCTGAATATCTAGTCGGATATATCACTGAATTGAGAATGATAAGTTCTATAAAATGAACTGAAAAAAACATGGGGATGCAAATTGAGAATGATGAGTTCTTTGAAATTAACTGAAAAAAACATGTGGATGCAATTTGAGAAAAAAACAAAGTTAGGGGTGCGGTTTCTGGTAGATTGTTTGACATAAGGGTGTTTCGATTCTATTATCTTGGAGAGCTTTTGCTCCCATATATTCCACAATTTTTAGAAATTTTTTGTATGTCAGATAACCCAGATATCTGCTGACCTAAAAGCTATGGGACACCCAACAGATTGACTGACTGTTCCTTTTCTGCAGGTGGCAAATACAAAGTGGAATTCAAAACGATTGCTGCAGATTTCACGAACACAGATCAAATCTACCACGAAATAGACAAACAACTCACAGGCCTCGACATCGGAGTATTGATCAACAACGTCGGCATGAGTTACTCCTATCCAGAGTATTTCCTCGACCTCAAGAACAAAGACGAAGTCTACAAGAACATAATAAGCTGCAACGTCTCCTCAGTCACCAACATGTGCAAAATCGTCATGCCTGGCATGGTAGAGCGACGCAGAGGGGTGGTGGTCAATATATCCTCGACAGCTGCCCAGATTCCCAGTCCCCTTTTGACAGTATATTCAGCTTCGAAAGCGTACGTTGTCAAGTTCTCTGACGATCTAGCTGCGGAGTACACCAAGTACGGCATCACTGTACAATGCCTCTTGCCAGGCTATGTCGCCACCAACATGTCAAAGATCAGATCATCAACCTGGATGGCACCTTCTCCATTGGTTTACGTGCGGGAAGCCATGAAGACGATAGGGGTGAAAGATAGTACTACGGGTTACTTCCCGCATACTTTGCTAGTTGGGGTAGTTCATGCTTTGGATTGTGTTTCTCCGAGGTTGTCGAGATGGTTGATTACTAGAACGATGACCAATATTAGAGCTAGAGCGCTCAGGCGAGCTCTCGATTGAGTTGGTGTTTGTATACATATTTATTGTTTGTTATATAGAATAAACAAGTTTGTTTTCGGTTGTTGTTATTCATCATTTGGTATTGAAAGTTTTTCACATCCCTGGCTGTACTATATTCAGTAGAAATACTATAGGTATATACTTCAAAATATTCGGGTTATAATCGATAACTTTTTGCATAATTACAAAGAGTGACGGATGAATTGACACGATTTGTGATTATTGTGCAGGAAGTTTGAGATGTATAACCTTGAAGATTTTGAATTGCGAATTGTATTCGATACGATTATTTTTTGTGTAGTTCTGAACGAACGTCAAAATGTTACGACGCGCTTTTTTTGTATGTAACAATATGAGTCGTTCACTATGGAAATGGAAATAATTCTGAATTTGTGATTGGTGGAACTACTCTACTTATATGTATATCCAGTATATCCACGTATATTCGAATTTACACATGGTATAGCTTAGCTCAATTGAACATTCTGATTGGTATAGACTCATACGGAGAAAATAATCGATTAGATTCAATGTATTCGAACCCAATTTTTATTCATCATATTATCTATCATATCTGTTACATGGAATATACTTTTGAATATAAAAATACTTAATACACATACGCAGTCTATATGGGCCCCTTTTTTGAAACGAAGATCCAAACGTCAAAATATTCTGTTACTTACAAATTATCAGTATAGTACTAAATTATTGGCTAGAATAAGGCATTGATATTGGTTGAAAAAACGGAAACGTCACATTTTGACATGTGAAGGAAATGATCATTGAAAGTTTTTCAAATATGATGCCAACATTATGAAAAACACTGTATGTTATTTATGGCTCTGTACAACATAACTTTTTTTCATTACCTAAACCAAAAAGCCACTATCCCTCCCAAAAAAAAATATTATCGGCGCCCCTGACCGTGTACCGCCGGCGATGTTTTTTTTGCTGAATTTGTCTCGAGTGACTTTACAAGTTCTAATGTTCACTAAAGACCACATACTCAGGACGAAATTAATTGATTCACCTTGAGTACCTATATCCTTGGAAGTATTCTCAAGAACTTACAACCTCGAGAAGTTGAAATAGAATTTTGTTGAATGAAGATGTCCTTCTCTTTTTTATAATGTGCCATCTATGATGAAACTGATGTACTTACTTATATGATTCCTGTATAATGCTGTATACAACCAAACCTGGTATAAACGCAATAGAGCACTGGCCTGCTAAACATAGTAGATCTACCAGTTTTCACTAGATGGCGATATAGTAATCTTCCGAGAGAGATTCGGCGAAATCTAATTTACCGAGTGTCAAAAATGAATATAACACACAAGGCAATTATAAACTAAAAGGTGTATCTATAACTATAAATACTCAATTACTTTCTAAATGAATATGAATAGGTGAGTATTTTACAAACGTGTTCACAACAAAATACTTATGCTCTGATTAGCGATTTATGCACGTAAAGTGATTATCCCACTTACCGAACTACTCACCTAGTTTCCAATACTCATATACAGGGTGTTTCCGATATTGGAGCGATAAATAAAATGGGGTGTTCTATGAGACATTATGACACGATAAATCACAAGAAAAACTTTTTTTGAATTAAAAAAAACAAGAGTGGGAGCATGTTGCTGACGTCGAATTAAGAAGAGAAGTTTGTGTAAATATAATAATATATCCGAGTAAAGAGTGTCAAAGTTGAATTTTTATTTTTGTTTTTTGTTAATAAATTTCAAAATAATTGTGATATTAGAATGAAGTTTGGTATCTACAGGTATTTTTCAATGACAATATCAAATTTTATGTTAGTTTGTCTCTTTCGTGAGGGTGGCTCCACCTACATGTCTTTTGAGTCTTTTGAAAAGTCATAACTTTTTTGTGCGTACCTGTATCACGTTTCATAGTTGAAAAATAGATTTCTAGAACACTTTTGTGTAAACAATATATTCTTGGTAGAGGTCGCTGCGAGCAACTGTTTTCGAGGTATTGGGATTTGAAATAATCGATGCATTTGAATTATTTCTATGGGAATATAAATCGGAATTTCAAAGCTCAGAATTTTGAAATTTTTATGTTTTTTATTATAGGTGTCCCTTCCAGGGCTTCGTATATTCTCCTCATATATTGATCCCTGGAATATTTTCCATTCGCTTCAAAACATCCTGTATACTGAGAAAATTCCTAAATCATTTTGATTCATAGGCTCGGCTTCGCTAAACGCTCCGCCTCGCAAATGCAAAATTTGCTTGTCAAACAAAGTGTCACTTTTGATCCTAATGAAACAATCTACTATTCAAGTGCGTATTTGATGTTCTTCTCGTTTTTGGTTCAATTTTTCGGATGAAATCCCTCTTTAATTAGAAGAATTAAAAAAATCTGTTATCATGGGAATATTCGTGTTACACTGTGTCATATATCAATGTGCTGAATATATTATGTACTCATTTCAGAAACACCTTGTATATTCATATAGAATGTTCTGAAAATGCTCTGAGCAATATTGAGAGAACATTCTGAGAATATTCGGGAATATTATAGTAACGTTCTCAGAATCACTTTGTGTTGTCTGGGGTAATAGCTAGGTGTATATAAAGAAATATATAGACTGATGAAATTATTAGATGTATCTATATATGGAGTCATTAAAGTGATTTGAGAAATCATATCTATGTTCTAATATTCTGTTGACAAATCGAATGTTTGGCATTGAGCTTTATTTGAATTTTGTTGTTTTAACACTTACCTATAGTGTATCAGCCAATGCAACGTATATATTCATATTGCTTGTGATTCACTTACAATCAGAAAATATGACTATATATGAGCCAACACAAATTACATCATTTATTTGTTTGCACTCAGGTATATATATCTTCCGATGACTGTTGTTCGTGATATCATTTAGGCAACCTTGAGCAAATTTTTGTAGTTCGAGAATCTTCAATTACCTCATCGAGGAAGGTATTATCATGTATATTTAAACATAATTTCAGAGCTAATAATATTAAATACAGTGCCGCCTTCTGACTAAAACAGAAAAGGTAAACAAACATTGTACTTTCTCTGTTATAGTCATGAAGATAGTATATTATATTCTCGATTATATTCTACTAGCGCATATATCGGCTGATTCCAAAATTTTTATAGTCTGTAGTGGAAGTACCATTTGCTTTCAAAGTATTGGTTGATTATAGAATAAGATCTAGAAAATTCACCTGATTATAATTTACGCCAGTCAATATCGACAATGAATTAACAGAATATGATGTATCTCTGATATTTTAGTATGTTGTTTGAACCCATTAGGGGAGTGTATACCCAAGTTTGCAACTCTCTAAAAGTTGAAGAAAAAGTTTAGCACACAAGAAACCGTGAAATTTTCGGACTTTTTTCAGTTTTTGCTCTATATCCCCAAAACTATTCTTTTTTCGGCCAAAGCTGGTATTTACATAGGTAATTTTTTCCAAAAAGTGGAAATTTCAGTTCTAGACCTTCTATAGACCGAAATCGCAGCCAAACCATTAATATTCATGATAGAACTCATGGAAAGTGTATTAGCTTCAAATTAAGCATAGGCCTCGCAGTTCTCTCAAAATAAAAAATCTATATAAGGTAGAATCGCATTTTTCCAGAAATGTACCAAATCTTGAGTTTTCAACATAAACCAATTCCATAGATTTGAATCACAGAAGGAATCCAAGTTGAATAAATTGAAGATAGGTAGCAATGTTATTAGTCAACGAGCTAATGTGTTCTCAAAATCTCGAAAAAACCTATATCAGGTGGAATTGCATTTTTCCAGAAATGTTCCAAAACCTTTCGTCTCCTTTGTTTTTTGGTATGGTAATGAAAACAAAAGCGGTGCCACTTATTTTGATATGAACAAAAGTCATCAAAACAACAGTGAGCAATCATTCAATCAAATATTGCCATGCACATAGTCCAAATCGTCGCCTCTTTTTAAGGTCCTGGGCCGTCACTTTCGATGGACTTTTCGACGGGAAGGTCATCCACTATTGGTGGAACGTCGTCGTCCTTTATAGGTGAGTTCTCCATTATCATGCTTGTCTTGAGGCTCATTAGGGCTGTCTTGAGTCTCGTCATCGTCGTCCTTTTCGATGATGATAAAGGCAGCGTTCTAGCACGTTTCCCCAGAGCAGGTACCACACATCACAGAACATTATTTGAGCTCTGCTTATCGACAAGTCCAGACAACTCTGCATTCCGTCTTGCATCTGCAAGAAAGGAGTTTCTGGAGCTCTGGTGGGACAGGGGCTTGCAGACTGATAATGGGGACAACCCCAAGCCACTTTTGCTTCTGTGGTTGGAGACAAACGCACCAGATTCGCTTAGACGTTCGCTGCTCTCTTGTCTTGACGAAAGTGTGGAAGCATACATCGTTGAGGGTGTCTGTCGACTCGTCTCCACCTTCTCCGTGTGTTTCATCTGGCCGGGGAAAAACTCTTGCTCGGACTACTAGGGCTTGATTCTGATGTTTGAAGTGGCCCCACATTTTCATCTTCCCCTGACAGAAGAGGGCAGAAGTGGTTTCGCACCCAGTAAATGCATGGAGGAACTGCTCAAATCCAGGTGGTACCTCCACTTTCTCTTGGTTGAACGTGCTGGTGAAGAAGTGGATGCGACCCACCCCACCTCTGCTACTCTTCTGGAAGTAGACGTTCGTTTTGGTGGATCCTAGACCACAGAAGAGCACGACTAGATTAACACCATCCCCAACAATGATGATGTATGGACATTGGAGCTACTTTTTTGCAGAGAAGTCACTACGATATCGCGGTCTGCGTCTTCTGTTGCTATTTTTGTCTTAATTCCCTCAAGAACAAAAACAGAACAGATATGATCAATGAGACGAGCCTTGATTTTTCACTCGAGAGTATCAAACACAATTTCTGCACACATTAGCTCGTTGACTAATAACAATGGTACATACCTACCTACAAATCCTACAATTCATTCAACTTGAACTTTTGCTTCGATTCAAATCTATGGGATTGGTGCATGTTGAAAACTCACTATAGGCAACTAAAAAGTGATTTGGTACATTTCTGAAAAAATGCGATTCTGC